CCTTAACAGCAACCCAGTTTAATGCCAAAGAAGGTCTCACGGTTATGCAATCTATCCTAAGCAGACAAGTCATCACCCGCATCACCTTCGACACGACACCCTGCAGCGCCTTTTCGCCCAGGACGCTATGCCTAACTCCAAGCCTGCAGCCTCAACCTCATTGATGCAAAACTCCTTCCCTCAACAGCCTGCTTACCCGAACTCCTTAATCCCAGTGCCAGTCGCAAACTCTAAACCCCCTCCTCTGCAGACAGCTTGTCAGCTGCATCGTCCTTGTTGGTCACCAAGGCCTGATGATAGATGATTGCAGGGCTCGAGGATGCGGGTCCCAGACAATCATTCTGCGAATCACTTCCGCCTGCTCGTATCTCAATGCCCCTCTGTAGTATCACCCACGCAGCATACTGGGGTGGAAAAGATTGGAACTGCTTTTCAACAACAATTGCGACAGCGATGATGCCACAATCCCGCAATTAAAGCCCAATATGTTCTTAAACCTCTTCCTGGTCCACAACACTCCCTGTCATCGTTGACTCTCTAGCCTGCCTTCCAAGGAAAACGTCCTTGGTCCGCGAGAAATATAGCATCCCGTACCGGAGTCAAACAGACAAATGTTCTGATCATCTTCAGATTTTTGCGCCCTAGCCCATAAACCTCTAAACGCGCCCATGAGAACCATCGTGACCTCCTACCTAGCCATTACCAAACTGAACCCACTGCACCGTCAATTTCTGTGATGCAGTGACCAACCCCTCTGCAATCCTTTCCTCTGCAGCGAACTCGGCAGCTGCATCTTTGCTGGTCGTCACCGGTACCTGATGGAAGTTGAGCTTCTAAGGTTGTGTGATAATTTTCCAAAATAAGAGGACCCCAACATACACCTTTATATACTCTAATCCTTATGGTTGGCGCACTAAAGAGTAACCCTAGTCTTGGGAAACCCTGCATGAGGCTTGGTGGTATTCGTGGAATTTCTTCAAGGTGATCGTGCTATGTTCTAAAGGCTCCTTCTGACCCATTCAGCATAACGGAGCTCCAGCAAACCCTGAACTGTAAACCCTAGACCCACTGGCGCTTGTGGTAATCAGTACTTGGCAAAACAAGTGACAGCAATTCTGCCATAATCCTGCATGAGCATGATGGTAACCAAGGGGAGCTTTCTATCTTATAGTACATGAGCTGTAGTCTAAACTCCTAGTATCCCCCTGAACAATCTCTACAATACTCCCCTATACCATCCCCTATATTACCCACTTTAAGGACCCTAGACTCTAGCTCACATGAAACAGACAAGCCGTCCGCCCCTTTTCAGATTGATGCATCATGCCCGCAACCACCATCATCACTACGCAATCGCTCATGCCAAACTGACACCCTAAGGGTCCAAGGACCCAAATAGCAGGGATTCAGGGCCCAATACTATAACATTAGTGGTATCCGGGCCCTGAAGCCCCATTATCTGGGTCCTTGGACCCTTAAAGAAACCCTTCGCACCCTCAGCCTTGTTGATACAAAGCTCTTGGCCTCAACAACCTGCTCTGCTGGATCCTTAAACTTCAGTGCCAAACCCTAGACTGGGTTGCTATTAAGGAACTTAATTTAAGTTACCATATTGGGGAAACCCTGTTATATACTATATCTACCCAGTATGGTAACTTCATTTAAGTTCCTTAACAGCAACCCAGTAGAGCAACCCTCTCCTCGGCAGACGGCTTGTCCGCTGCATCTTCGCTAGTGGGCCGCGGCACCTGACGAAAGCTGATCAAGCAGCTCAAAGCTTGAGGTCTGGATACTCTGCCAACATGAGTAGTGTTTTTGTTGGTGGTTGAACCTAATAAGATAATATTCCTCATATAAAATACTATACCCAAAAGGAGGATAGAATCTTACGCTATATTGGGTACCATGGTACTCCCAAATAAAATGCTACTCACATGTTCTGGGCTTTCATCATCACCCATGTAGACGAAATCGGCCGGAGCAACGAAGTTTCTGGTATCTGGGAGGAAAATGTCAGGTCTGGAACAAGAACCACAGAAATGCTGGAATATCTCTGCAACAACAACCAAGACCCCACGTATCCCCGAGTCCTACTGCAACAGGAGCCCTTTGCCATGCTGTTCACTGAGATTTACAGATCGTAATTCTGGGGCGAGAAAAAAGACACACTTTGTCCTGTAGGTACCAAATTTTAACAAACAAGTCGTCTGCTCTTCACATATGTTTGCATGATGCCTGCCAACACCATCATCAACTACGCAAGCTGCAGAGACTTTTCACTCCACCGGGAACCATGCATACCCGACTGAATGCTCTGCACCGTGAATATATGTGAAAGCGTGACCAATCCAACCTAAACCCTAAGCCCTATAGTCCCCCTTGAGTAGATAGAATATGGCCTTGGATATATTCTAATATTAAGATCCCCATATACCCACATTCTATCTACGTAAGGGGGACTATATACCCTAAACCCGAAACCCCTAAATAATAGTTTCCGTTTTCTTTTCCATTATCCCTATATAACCCCCAATATAACCCTAACTAATATTCTATCTACTTAAGGGGGGCTATAACCCCAAAATAGACCCTATTACCATACAGTAGTTTCCATTTTCTTTTCCATTATCCCTACAAAACCCCTCCCCGAAACCCTAAACCCCTAAACCCTATATCTATTGAAGGGGGACTATGAACCAACCCTCTCCTCCGCTTCGAGCTCGTGAGCGGCATCTTCGCTGCTGGTCGCCGGCACCTGACCAAAGCGGATCAAGCAGCTGAAAGGTTAGGGTTTAGTTAAGGGTTTAGGGCTTAGGGCTTGGGGTTTAGGGTTCAGGGTTTAGGGATGCTCTGCAATCACTTCCGCCTCCCCTTATCTAAATGCGCTTCAGCGACTGTGGTATGCAATGAACGTCCATTCTGACCCCCTGCTCTACATGGGTGCTTCCGGGCCAAGTGTTGCAAAGTGTCTGAGGCTCAAGGCACTTTCCCAGGAGTATTCCAGAGCAGGTTTAGCAGTTCCAAGGACTATTGCAGGGCATGGGAATTAATGTTAGGCGAATTTAGGCAACAAGAACGACAGAGCCTCCATCCCGCAACTCCTGAGCCTGCTTGACCGATCTTTCGACTTCGTAAGGCTTCCTACTTAAGCTCATAACCCCGGTTTTACTTGGTAGATTTACCAAGTCAAGAAATTCTGCAAGTAATACCAGAAATGGACCCTGCTTCCTGCGAAATCATGGCAAGAATTGCTATCCATTCCCCAATTTCCAATAGCAGCATGCGTGCCAGTCCGTGCTGTTTTCTCTAGTCCGCTCCGAAATACTAATCTGACAGCATGGGGTGATTATTCATCATTTAGGGGGCGGGACCCTAAAGCCTAAACCCTTAACCCTAAACCCGGAATCCTAAACTCTAAGCCCTAAGCTGGAAACCTAAACCCTAAACCTGGAATCCTTAACCGTAAAAGGGAGCGGGTGATTTTTTAGTAGGATGCCAGGGATGCTGTCCCAGGGCCGGTGGACGGACGAGTTGCTACGCCGTAACCCTATATTCGAAGCTATGGGGTTCAGGACTTGCCTACAAACCCTAAATTTAGGGTTTAGGGACCCTAAATGCCCAAACTATACACCAAATGTGTTGACTTTTTGACTTGGGAACGTCCACACTATCCCCAACAACCCCTGTTGAAGCCCCATAATAAGTAGCATTACTATGTCAAGAGATCTCCAAGTACAACCCTAAACCCCAAGCCCTAAACAGTAGTTTCCATCTTATTTTCCACTTTCTTTTCCATTTGGTTCTCCATTATTGGGAAAATATCCCTAAACCTTAAACCCTAAACCCTATCCCTAAACCCTGAACCCTAAACCCTGAGCCCCAGAACCTCCACAGCTGCGTCTCCGCTTCCTTCGACCTCCGGTTCCTGACGAAAGCTACTCCACCAGCCCTTTTCACCCTCATCGGTTAACCCTAAACTAGGGAAAATGGTTTAGAGTTTAGAGTCTAGGGATTAGAGTTTAGGGTTTACTAAATCCCTCATCCCTGAACCCTACACCCTAATTCCTAGATCCGTAACCCTATACTTTGAGCTTTTAGGCTTTAGGTGGTCTAGGAAACCCGCTTGGGCATTTATTTTGGCAGGTGGAAGCCTAGGTTTACAGTTCAGGATTATTCCGAGGAGTTTCAATTTTTTTGGGGTTAGGATTTAGGGTCATGAGATCTCTAGATTATAATGGCGACGCCGCAAAAAGATTTTCCATGATCATGCAGGGGCCATGTGAGCTATCCAAATTCCGAGTATCCCCCTTAATAATCTCGTTAATACTCTCTTATATAATCCCCTTTGTAAGCCACCTTTAAGGAGTTTAGCCTATAGCTCATTCTTGCCCTCTGCGGGAAGGCTCAACTACTCAGCTATCTGCCCCCCCCTTAACCCTAAACTCCAAACCCTAAACCGTAAACCCTTAACCGCATAAACCTGTACCCTCAGGACGTTGCGCTGGATGCTTGAAGCATAGGAGAAGCTGCCATTTTTCCCCTTGTAAATGGTGGCTTTGTACAGTGCATGGATTGCTCCCATTCAAGCACGGAACCAGGGGAGCCTTCATCATTAGGGAGTGGGGCGCCTCGCGGGAAGCCAAATGTCCCGTCAACGTCAGCACGTGGAAGAGGAGTATAATCAAGGACACCTCCATGTGGGTAGTTAAGCTGGATACCCAAATATATGGCTCCTTTATGGGCCCGCGCCTGATAAACTATCCCCCTAGAGGTTCCCTTGATAAAAAGACCTTTCCACGCTCGAAAGGTTTAGGGTTGAGGGTTTGGCACAAGCATCGTGCCACTAAACACTAAACCCTAAACCCTAAGGCCTTGTCCTGGATGCTTTTTTTGCATCCCCCTGGCCACAGCAGCTCTGCGGCGATGATATCCTCCTACAGAAGCCCTGCATTGCGCCCATGTGGGTGGTTTTCAAAATTATGGTCCCTTTTTGGGTACCCTGAATATTAGGTGCCATATTGTACTAGGGATCCAAAAAGGGACCATCATTTTGACAACCACCCATGTTTGCACATATCTTATGCGCTGCGCCAGCTCGACGGAGAACTTCCTCTGCCTCGAATCCTTGATTTCACCTATAGCACCAGCCCCCCCAAAATTGTACATCCTCCCTGTAATCCCTCAACAGCCCCAAGTTCTCAAAGAGCTCCGCTTGTGAGAAGCCCGCAGATGCTGCAAGCTCAGAGTTCGAAGCCTGCGTCTTTTTTTAATACTCCCATTATTACTATTACTACTGTTTCTATACTTACTATTATTACTATACTTACTGCTATTACTATAATTACTATGATTCTTATCATTACTATTATTACTATTAGCCCTCTGCCCAAACCCTACTTGGAGGATCTCTTGACCAAGTACGTGTTCGTAGTTACAGGGCTCATGGGGCTGATAATGGGGGTTAACAATAAGGAGTTATGGGGCATACTAGGTAGGCTTACTAAGTAATGAGGTTATCCAATTGTTGATACTAGACATCCTGCATGACATTTGTATACTATAGCACCATAATTTCCAGCGTTTCAGGTACGTGGGGTCATGCAGGATTTTTAGTATCCATCCTAAACCGTAAACCCTATGTAACCCCTATATAACCCTTGATATAACCCCTATGTAACTCAGCATATCCACCCAAGTAATCCCAAAGCCCCAAACCCTAAACCAGGCCTCACCCTCTACAGCTTCCACTGCGGATAGAGGAGCCCATAAGGTCCTCAGAGGTTTGGGGTTTTAGTTTAGGGTTGAGATTCAGGGTTTAGGGTGAGGGACTCAGAAAGTAGGTTAATAACCCCTATAAGCCATATAATAGCACCACTTATCCCAATTAACAACCTACTTACTAAGTCCCCATGACCCTCCAAGTAGGGTCTAGGGTCAAGGTTGAGGGTCAGGAATGGATTTGAGGGCAGGCTAAGACGTGAATTGTGCCTCATGTACACCCTAAACCCTTAACCCCAAACCCTAAACACACCTTAAACCCTATTTCCAAGCCCAGAGCCACCTGAGACCCAAATTCGTCCAAATCCTCAACCCTCAATTGTCTTACGGTGGATTCTAAAATCTGCATGCCCTGAAGTGCCCTAAACCTTGGGATCATGGCACAGTATGTAGTATGCTAAAGTCATGCAGGATTGTTTTGTATCACTATCACCATCTCAGCATGCTTGCATATGGGACCTATATGGCATGGTAGTCTCCATGAATAGAGGGGCCCGAACATGGAATACTATACTCCATATTATGGGGACCTCCCAGACAAGGTACCCCCAAATTTCGGGAGACCCTAAACCCTACAAATCCCCCTACAACCCTTAGACGATCCCCCAATTGTGGGAAACCACCAAACACAGTTTTTGAGAACCTCATCGCAGTTTGAGGGACACTCCACATATGAGCTATAGTCAATATTTTCTACCCAATTTAATGGACATGGGTGTTTTATTAGGACTATATTAGGGGCTATACCAAACTACAAGAGGGTCCCTATGTCCACCCTTAATGGCACCTTGGTAACGCAAATACTGACAGTAGCTCATAAAGGATTTAGGGTTTTAGGGTGTAGGGTGGGGCCTTGGGTGGATTGATCTAGAACATGTCTCGGCATAGCAAGTTTCATGAACAGGGCCCAGTTCGGGGTTTAGGGTTTAGGGGTACCATCCAAAAAGCAGCTTACTGGATTTTCTACATCAGGGTTTAGGGTTTGGGGTGAGGTTTGGGCACTCTTATAGCCTTCACATGGCCCTGGGTTGTCGAACCGTTTCCATCAGTTTTTGTGGGAGACTTCTATATATCGATCTTTGTTTAGGTCCCCTGGTGTTCAGGCTTAGGCTCTAGGTGGAATAGGATTCCTGTCGTTGTGGGGTGTATATATATATATATATATTGGGGGCCCCAATAAGCCTAAGAGATTCCGGCAGATCTTGAAAATCAAATGGGCGTAGTAAGTCTTACTCAATAAGTCGTAGTTTCCCAAAATAGGCGTACCCCAACGTAGACCCCAAAATACTATAATCCTTACTACGGGGATCCCCCAAAAAGGTACCCGTCCTATTGGGAAACGCTCAAGTATACTTAGAACCTAGCTCATGTAATACACTCAGTTATCCCCATTAGAATCGTGACGGCTTGAGGTTTGGGTTTAGGGTTTGGGGTTTAGGGTTGGGCTGTAGGTTCTGGGGTTGTGGGCTGAAGGGCTCTTGAACAACTGGTGCCCTCGTCAAGACGCTAGTATGGAGTTCCATGTTCGCATGGGATGCTAGTTTGGGTCTGGAGTCTGTGAACCTTGTCAACCCTAAACCCTAAACCCTAAAACCCTAAACCCTAAAACCCTAAACCCTAAAACCCGTCCTAGACCCTAAACCCTTATCTCCCAGTGCGCTCGACTTAGTTAGTCAAAGCAATCTGGAGGGCAATAGCGTACTGGGGTCTACATTTTGAGGCCTCCGGTTTGTGGAAACTAGCTTATTGCGGAACCAGCAAGGGGAACTCCTGTTGTAAAGAAGTTGTAGGGCAGGGGGGGGGGGAACCCTGAACTTTTTATAGGGGTACTAAAACGGGCCCCAATTGTTGGAGAAAAAAAATCTCCTACTGGGATGCTTACAACCATTGTCCCTTACATGAGACCTGCAAATACCAGTGAATTTCAGACAAGATCCACATGGCTTAAGTATTTTACGGTCTAGGACTCTAGGGTTCGGGGTACAAACTTGCAGCATAGTTGCGGAAAATTTCGCGTTGTGAAGCCCTTCTTGGACTCAGAGATACGATGGATCGTGGTGACCTGTTGAGGGAGCCAGAGCAGAGCATCATACTGGGATTTCCATCATTTCCAGGCAGAACAAGGGGACCCGTTGTGCTGAGAAGTAGGCTAGCCATGTCAGGCAGTTGGCGGAAACAACCCTGCCTGATCCCCCAAACCTACACTCTAATCATGAACAAGAACAAGTCCTGCGGTTCGTTCACAAAGTCCTGCATGATCCTCAGTATTCTGTACCGCCATACTTCCCCGCTTCAGAAATACAAGGTGGCGCATGATTTCCTACGCATGGCCTTTAAGACGTAGAAAGTAGGCGGTTGCGTGTTGGAGGGTCTTTGGATTATTCCCAAAATCTATAATCCCCCTTAAGTAGATAGAATATGGGTATATGGGGGGCTTAGTATAATATCTAGTATAATATACCCAAAACCATATTCTATCTACTTAAGGGGGACTGTAACCCGAATATATACGCTTATATAATATAGTAGTTTCCAGTTTCTTTTCCATTATCCCTATATAACCCGAATAATAACCCCTATATTCTATCTACTTAAGGGGGACTATAACCCCAATATATACCCTGTCATTATCCCTATATAACCCTAATATATGCCTAATATTCTATCTACCCTAAACCCTAAACCCTAAAACCCTAAACCCTAAACCCTAAACCCTGAAACCCTAAACCCTATACCCTGAAACCCTAAACCCTATACCCTAAACCCTATACCCTAAACCTTCAACCCTAAACCCTAAACCTTCAACCCTAAACCCTAAACCCTAAACCTCAAGGGGGACTCTATACCCTAAAGCCCCTTCACCTCACTTCAGGGTCCCGTGACTTGGGCTCCTTTAAGCGAGGCGTCATCTCATTCCCCCTTTTTAGGGTTTAGGGTTTTAGGGTTTAGGGTTTTAGGGTTTAGGGTCTTAGGGTTTTAGGGTTTTAGGGTTTAGGATTTAGGGTTCCCCTTCCCCTCGCTTGTCATTGTGGAAGCGAGACTCATGGTGATATCATGGGTGTTTCTCCACATGGGGTATCCTCAAGCACCTCAAGGATCTATGGGAATTGATAAGGGACACAACAGCATTGTGGAGGTCCTGACCCAAAGCCACTGGATTCGATCCTCGACCGCAGCTTGTATGCAAACAGAAGCCCTATATCCACTGAAGAGATTTGAACCCTGTTTAAGACCCTTAACTCCGGATCCTACCCAACCTGTAGTCCTAAATCCCTACATGCCTTTTGCTTTCATGGGCCCCAAACAGAGCAGGACCACTAGACTGCAATCACCCCAGAGAACTGCCGAAGCACTCCACGAGCATCCCCAACAGCACTCTAAAACCACTTCAGCTGGGTTTAGGGCTTACCCTGGGTTGTTGAGAAACTTACGCCAAATCACCATAATACGGATGTGAATAAGACGGCTTCCTTATAATGGTACTCAGCTTCAGCCTCAGAACTTGAGATTAAACTATGGTACCCATGCAAAAGCCAGTCCCACAATATGAGGAACCTAAACTGCATGGTCGGGAACATCTCAGGTCCTAAGCAGGCAATATCTTACAATCCATTATAATCAGTTACCATTATTGGCGCCTATATCGTGTCGAAATTTGCCTGCCTAGTATGGCCACGATATCTCTACTAGGAGGTTTAAGGTAAGTATAAGAGAGTTTCACACTATAGATCTAGCCCAACTACAAGTCCCCTATGCAGCATGGTGCGTTGTAAGCTCGCTAGGTAGGGAACCGGGTAATGTGCTACAATCCCTGATAAATAGGTATCAGTATAGCGAACAGAGAACATGTATGTGTCCTAACGTACGTACTGTGGATCCTTAATATCTTATACCAGTGGGAACTGAAGCGCTCTAGTCCTCAACCCTGATCCCTACGCCCTAGACCCAAAGCACTACACCCTGAGCCCTAAACCCCAAACCCCAAACCCTAAACCTTAAACGCCGAAACCCTAAGCCCCTAAGCTAGGAATGCAGGAATGGTTCCTTATAGTAGTCCCTATACAACCCATTTTAGCAAGTTCCATTTTCCTATCCCTTCCTTCAGTCCCAGCTAGGGTTTAGGGTTTACGGTTTAGGGCTTACCCTAAACCCTAAACCACCCTAATCCTATTACCCCCGGCTTGCCTGACCGGCGAGAAATTCTAAAGTCGGAGTCGGTACCCCGGACCAATTGGATACCTGTGGGTCGCCTCGGGGCCAAGGGTCTAGGGTTTAGGGTCTAGAGCCCTGAACGCTAAACAGGGTATGTTACCACCCCCCAATAATGGAGAATCGAGTGGAAAACAGCATGACAAATTAAAATGGAAATTGGATTTATAAAGGGTTCTATTCCAGCTGGTGTAGGTTGGCCGGCCTACGAGAATCAAATTTCTGTGGCGGTGTAAGCATTATACCCCTAAACCCTAAACTCAAATCCGTAGGGATTATGGGTAATAAGGACCAAACCTGCCCTTGTTTGTGCTTCACGGAAGCGGCCTTTCCAGGGAGCTTATCGCGCGAAAGCTTTAGGGTACCAAGTTTGGGTTTCAGGGTGGGGCTGTGGTGTTCATGCCTGGAGGGTCATGGAAATTTAGCAATTAGGTGAAGAATTGGGATTGTTGGGGTTAATATGTGGCTTATCGGGGTTATAAACCTACATACCAAATCCCCATGTCCCTCCAAGTGGTCAGGGCTTAGGGTGTAAGGACTTTTTCAGGGTAATTTAGAATAATTTCAATTCCCATTTAAGGCCAGTTTGGTACTGTTCTCCATATGAACCACGATTTAGGGTGAGGTCGAGTGAGGTCGCTTTAAATTGCACAATCTGGGCTCTGCAGTGTAGGTTTGATACGGTTTATACCCCCCAACCCTACAGCCTACCTGGATCCTCCAATGTAGTTCAATATATTCAAGGGTCTAGGCCAGGCCCGGGTTTATAAATTGAGTAGCTTGTTTTGATGGTTGAACCTAGTAAGATAATATTCTTATATAAAGTACTATACTCCCCAAAAGGAGGATATAATCTTACTCCATATTGGGTACCATAGTATCCCCAAATAAAATACTACTCAATTAGGCTTGCATATTCCGAGGTTGCAGTCCAGGGCTTATGATTTCATAGATTAGGCTTCAAGGTGGTGGATTTACCCTAAACCCTAGGTTTAGGGTTTAGGGAGGAATTCGCAAATCTCCTCTCCGTGCCAGTACGGCGGCGCGCCCTGCACCTCAACCACCAGGGCCCTATGCGACGTCGGGTCCTCTGGTTTGGTTTCGAAGCCCAAGTCGGAGCCAAATCCTTTTCGGAATCGGATTCCTTGATTTCGAGTACAGCGAGATCCGTGAGCCTGTCCCAGTACTCCTCGGTAGTCTCGTCAGGTTTCCTATGAATCCAAATGATCTGCGGTCCCCCTGTTTTGCCCGAGACCTCATGCACAGAGCAGAAAACACCCCTCCTGCCACTCTGGAGCAGCAGCTTCTCGGCGTCGTGCTTGGGTATCCGCAACCATCCAATAAGCTGGGACCCGTTTTTTTTTTGCCGTAGCTTTGATACTCCCATTTACCTCCCGTGAGCTTATGCACAGGCACTCCCGAGGCGCCGGCAATGTCCTTCAGGATTGATTGACTTAAACCCTAAACCCTAAACCCTAATCCCTAAACCCTAATCCCTCAGGATTCGAGGGTTTGGGGTCTAGGCCTGCAGGCTGGTGCGCCAGCTTGGGTACTTATACTCCGCCTACCCTATGCCCTACCTCTTTAGGGTTTGGGTTTTAGGGGTTTAGGGGTTCAGGGTTTCAGGGCTTAGGGGTTTAGGGGTTTAGGGGTTTAGGGTTAGAGGTTTAGGTTTTAGGGTTTAGGCTTTATAGGGTCTAAACCAACAATTGTAGAGCAGTCTTGTGTGTAGAAAGGGCCTGTCATGGATTCCCTTCTACCCCCCTCTATACTACCGCTCTATGGTCCCCCTTAAGTAGATAGAATATGGGGTATATGGGGATCTTATGATAATATACCCGAAGCTTTTGCTATCTATTCAAGGGGGACTGTAGGTTCCCCCGCTTAATTGAGTTTATTCAGGGATAATGAATAAGAGGAACCAAACTCGGAGTGCTAAAGCCCTAAAACCCTAAAACCTGAAATCCTAGACTCTACGCCTTCTTCCAACTCAAAAGCATCGATGAGGGAGGGTGTCAGTGGTTCCATAGACCCTAAACTTCAATCTCCTAGCTCTTCTTTGCGGGACCCTAAGGCTACAAATGGTTTAGGGAATCTTTTCATAAGGGTTACACAAGGGCATATAACATATCACCCAACCCCAACCCCCAAAACCCTCAACCCTAAAGCCTGATAACTCTGGACTCTAGACTCTTAAAAAGAACTGGGTGCACAAGTTCCGCGACTCGCGGAATTGTGGACCCTTTGTGTATGCATTTAGGGTTTAGGGTTTGGGGCTTATAATAGGAGCAAGTCCATATTCGAATCAGGTACACCTCTTAAGTACCTAGCGAAGAAGAAAGCCCGAAAGCTTTTCCCGAAACGCGAAGTACTGTAACATGAATCGCAAACTCCAACCCCAACTACCCCAACGCCGCCCAAGAAACAAATCGCACGCCTTCCCTGACTCTGAACCAACCGGCCCATAAACTCTGAAGACTACATTCAGAATCGAGCAGGGTCATCTCTTCGTGATACTTTCTCTGGTAAATCTTGCAAATCTCCGCGGTAGACGAACCTTACATCCGTGCGAAACTGCTTCTACACAGCCGCCGAGTCACTTTGGAGGAACTTCACGCGGTCCCCTTCCAGGCTACTACATTTGCTGTCTCCGGGGTCAGCCGGGAAAAAGGGGATATGTTATATGGGGACCACATAAGGATTCTATTCTCTTCCCTACTAATCAGCAGTGGGTACATTTTCTTTGCAAACAATGCACAGGGAAGTTTGAGGTCCTTACTTAAGGGATTACTTATGGATCCTTCAAGGCTTGCCCCCTATATGATCCCAATCGACATCATTTTGGGGGTATTGTGAGCCCCCTTTGACCACACAAAAGGTGATGTTGAAAACCGTTCAACAGGCAATCATAAGCAAGTCTTTTTATGAGAAACGCCGCCACTGATTCCCTAAACACCAACCATAAATCCTAAACCCTAAATCCTAAGCCCTCAACCCCTAAACCCGAAACCGAGGAACCAAAGCGTTTGACTCAGCAGCCTGTTTGCTTTCTGACGGGGCGTAAATGATCGGGGGCTACGTGAGTGTAAGAGGCTTGTTTTTGGACTCTTCAGACGGTTGAGGATTTAGGGGGCGGGGGATGTAAGCAAAAGAAAGCATTATCCGGATTTTTTGCGGCAACATAGCCCTTACGCTAATTTTTGTGATCGGGTTGAAGGTCATAGACTGATGGGGTGTACGGGGTTCTACTGCAGGTGGAAGAAATCTTGCACCACTTCATAAAGCCTATGCCCCTAGACCCTCCATCTAACCCCCTGTATCGCGTAAATACCCACTACTTGGAAGGTTTTCAGGACTTAGTAAGTAGGTTAATAACCCGTATAAGCCATATAATAACCACAATTATCCCCATTATCACCCTACTTTATAAGTCCCCATGACCCTTCAAGTATTAGGGACCATACGTACACCCCTAAACCCTAAACCCTAAACCGTAGCACACCTCTATTTAAGGGTATAAGGGAGCCGCCTGGCCTTAGGATTCGCAGTATGGTTGGGGTCTCTAAGTGGATTGTTCTGAAGATTATGGGCCCCTTTTTGTTACAGATGGAATTATGGCACCCAATATTTCGGGGTAACAAAATTGGACCCTAATTTTGGGAACTACCCAAGTCTTGCAAGATTTCTTCGTTCAGTGCAGGGTGGGCTCGAGCGGTTTGTGTAGGCAGTATGCGGGCAATTGGGCTCAATCACTTTGGGTTTAATGTAGACTCTGTAGACCACTGATGAATAAACCCCCTCCTTTCGCGGGTCCAAATGTTAGGATCCCCAGTATACAGTAACTATTAAGGGGGGGGGTCTTAATGGTTGCATGATGACAGCCAGCGGATAGAAACAAGGAGGCTCATGTGGGCTAAGACGTCAGTGCCTTTTTGTGATGAAGATAAGGTTTAGGGTTTAGGCATGTCCTGAGATAACCAATAGGTCAGCAAGCTGATCACTTTGATTTTACGTCTGTGTCCCTAATCCCTAAATCCCGTACCCGCCTTGTCTCTGGGCCAGGAACCTAAACATATCATACACATGCTTCCTTGTCCAATATGAACCCTTTTTTTCTTGGATCTCTACCATAGATGGGACTGTTCTGGGGGCAAAATGGGAATCTATTCGGGACATGCTAGCGACGACCCTGAATTAACATAGTCCACCCAAGGTCCATCCTCAGCTTCTGCTTGGCAACGTGATGCCAACAATGCATAATAGCAGCAATTAAAACCAATGTATAAGAGTAAGAATATGAGGCATAAGGGTAAGTTACAGTAACAGGAATAGGACTATGGGTAGTAATTTAATGATAACGTAATAGTACCCATACTTATAGTAACAATAGTACAGCTAATATTGGAAATTTTAATCGTAGTAGCAACAGCAGTAATCATAGTAATAATAACGGTATTCAGAATAGTCATACGACTACTACTACTACTAAAAAGCCCATACAAACTTATCGATCTCTATATGATTCTGTAGAATTCTATAGAATTTTTTGAACCTAAAGCAACAATAGCAGTAGTGCCTTCTCCCGACAGGCCTGGCTGGAAACTGTGCACGCTGCCGCCCTCGACTTCGTCAACCTGCAACGGCCATCCGATTTGGAGGGCTCTCGTCGAAGGTTGAGGGTTTAGGTTCAGGGTTTAGAGTTTAGGACAATAGGAAGAAATAAGGATCCTGTTGACATAAATATGAAGAATCCCATACGTAAAGAAAATGAAGGATCCCTAACATCCATATTAAGGTTTAGGGTCTAGGGGTAGGATGCAGGTGGTTTAGATGTAAGGTTCAGGGCTTGGGGTGTAGGGCTGTGGATGGAGCAAATGTTGCATGCACCACCCTAATTACTTTGAACAGCAGGAAATTCAACCTTAAACATTATGGGGGTCACCGTGGTGTATGGGAAAAGGTTCAGACTCAGAATCAAGGGCGCAAGGTTGCCAGGGTTACGGGTCTGGGGTTTACGGAGCAAGCTTCGGTCAGGCGTTTCGGATTCAGAGAACATCAGAGCTGCATACGGTCACACGGGGAGTCGCTAGTATAATTTGCGTATATAACCGAAGCGCGACTCGAGAAATGGGGTTTCCAAGGTCATACAGGCGATATGGCTCCAGCAATGTTTGGGCGGTAGGTGTTTTGAAGTAGAAGCCAGGTTTCTGGGCCCCTAATCACAAAACATCAAACAACCGAATGCTGCAAGCCTTCAATCGCCAATCTTGAGACATTCAAACCGCTTGATCGCAGATAATCTTTGGCTTCTAACCTACAAGGACCTCCAAGAAAAATGGGAGACCAACTTCTGACAACTCATGGCGCTATGGGTATTTGGAGGTGTAGCGTTCATGTCATGACACACCCCAAAACCAGCTTCATCACGACGTATACTTTGCAAATGGCAACGTCAATCGTGGCGGTGGAGGCGGCGGGGGTGATGTTGGATCAAATATGAAAAGGGCCCAGAAGCGCTTTTTTGTCCATGCCATGTCAGTTTCATGGCTTAACACCTGATGGAAATGACAGAAAATCCTTGCGTTGGTCGTGGTGTTGTAGTAGTAGTAGTAGTACTACTACTACTACCACTACTACTACTACTACTACTACTACTACTACTACTACTAGTAGCCGCCTCCCCCCCCTAGGGCCTACACTTTACTTAAAATGGAATATAA